GGAAAGACGAGTACATGTACTACGCAGTAAAAGAATGCTATGAATCTTTGAAGTACATTCTTCAGATTCTTGTTGTTGGTGATCTTGAGAAAAAGTAATGCCTTATAGTAGCCTCTTCTAGTTACAACTTTTGCTTCATTTTCTGCTAGCTGCAGTATGTAATTTATATATTTGATATGGCTCAGGATTATATCTGGTATAATAAACGAAATAGAGGAAAGCATCAGACAGTCAAGTTTGCTTGAAGAATTTAAGATGACTGAGCTCCCAGCATTGCATGAAAAATGTATTGAGCTGGTTCAACTCCTGGTAATTATCTTGTGGTGGTGTTATAGATTTCAGATTTTGAAGTGTCAGCTGTTTTCTTTAAAATGTAGTAGTTCCAATGGGTATTTTCAATACGTTAGTTCTTTTGTACATTCCACTATTCCAGGTTGAGGGAAGTGACGAGCAACTCCAGGTAGAGAAAAGCGAAGAACTGCATGGTAAACTTGTAAAGGCTCTTCAGGACATATTTGAGCTAGTAACAAATGATATGATGGTACATGGTGACAGGTTAGTGAATTTCGAAGTCATGGAACCACTGTTGCTTTTAGTTCGAAGAAATGAACAAGCTAAAAACTTGCTTAATAATTCTTCGCATGTTTAGAGTTCTGGATTTGCTCCAGTCTCGGGAGGGGTCAGGAGAAGACACAGGTATTTTTATGAGGGTTATAGAACCACAGTTGTTTGAATCTTATGGAGAATGGAGATGCATTCATTTTCCGCTGCCAGATAGTGCTTCATTGAGTGAACAGGTACCATATGAGCGTGCTGCAATGTGTTCTTTAATGATCCACCCTGCAAAAATACTGCACTGTGCTGATATTTCTGTATTGGTTTCGGCAGATCCAGCGTTTTCTGTTATTGTTAACTGTCAAAGATAGTGCTATGGACATACCAGAGAACTTAGACGCTCGACGGCGCCTATCTTTCTTTGCTACTTCGCTTTTCATGGATATGCCTGACGCTCCGAAAGTACGCAATATGATGTCATTCAGGTCTGCCTTCACGACGTTACCTTATATACAAATTATTACTTTAGTCTCTAGAAAACTAGAGAGTACATGCTTGGATCATCTATTGATGACTAACACTTTGGTTGCAGTGTTTTGACTCCGCATTATCAGGAGGACATTAACTTTTCAACCAAGGAACTACATTCCACCACGTCTAGTGTGTCAATCATCTTTTATATGCAGAAGATTTTTCCAGGTAAGTCACAATACGTGTTCATTTTGACTGATGACTGTCTTCTCTGTATGTGTTTCAAGGTTGTCTAATTTTTGAGTTGTTAGATGAGTGGAAAAACTTTCTTGAGCGAATGGGATGTGAAAATTTGGACGCCTTAAAGAAAGAGGGTAAAGAAGAAGAGCTTCGAAACTGGGCATCATTTCGTGGACAAACATTGAGTAGAACAGGTGAGACCAATAAGTATATGTGAAAATCGCCTAATTGATCCTTATCACACTTTGATAGCGAACTAACAAAATATTGTTCTGTTTTCATGCTTAACACAGTTCGTGGAATGATGTATTGCCGAGAAGCTTTGAAATTGCAAGCCTTCCTTGACATGGCAGATGACGAGGGTTTGTCATCTTGACTCTAGCCTATGATCTTTGCAATTTCTTTTCCAAAACATTTATTTGGTTGATTCCAATGTACTCCTGTTTCTCCTCTAGATATTCTTGAAGGATACAAGGACGTGGAACGAAGTAACCGACCTTTAGCCGCACAACTTGATGCATTAGCAGATATGAAATTCACGTATGTTGTGTCTTGCCAAATGTTTGGAGCCCAAAAATCAGCTGGGGATCCCCACGCGCAGGATATACTTGATCTGATGATAAAGTATGCTTTTATTGTTATGCAAATTGTACATGATCTCAGTTAGATTCAGTAGCCAAAGTTGTACATGCTTCCCTAAAGCACTGTTACATGACTGTTGCACTTAGGTACCCATCTCTCCGTGTTGCATACGTTGAGGAGAGGGAAGAAATCGTGTTGGATGTTCCAAAGAAAGTTTACTACTCAATTTTGGTAAAAGCTGTCAACGGTTTCGATCAGGTATCAATAACTTTGCTACAATGCTTGATAATTTGATGTGCAAGTTGAACTGTAAAATCATGGTAATAGTCAATGACTAAACTTGATTTTGATAATCTAGGAAATTTACCGTGTCAAACTTCCTGGACCACCTAACATTGGAGAGGGGAAGCCTGAGAATCAAAATCACGCCATAGTTTTCACTCGAGGTGAAGCACTTCAGACGATCGACATGAACCAAGTAAGTTTTTTGCCTCTTGGATGTATAGTTAATGAACCACCTTTGTGTCTTCTAAAACTTCTCTCATAAATGTTAGGATCACTACCTGGAAGAGGCTTTCAAAATGAGAAATCTCCTTCAAGAATTTCTTCGAAACCGTGGAAGAAGACCTCCAACAATTCTTGGGTTAAGGGAACACATATTCACCGGAAGGTTTGTTCCACACATACATACAAATATCATTCTCCCTGTAACAACCAGAACATGGTATATCATAAGCCAGGAATTTACTGAGTTTCTGATATTGCAGTGTTTCTTCTCTAGCATGGTTCATGTCATATCAAGAAACCAGTTTTGTAACGATCGGTCAAAGGCTTCTTGCTAATCCTCTCAGGCAATAATCATAAACCCTGGAAATCACAGTTTCCACTTGCTGCGACTACAAAAACCTAACTTTTTTGTCACTGATTTATAGAGTCCGGTTTCACTATGGGCATCCAGATGTCTTCGACAGAATATTTCACATAACAAGGGGTGGCATCAGTAAATCATCGAGAACTATTAACTTAAGCGAGGACGTTTTCGCGGGTATGAAATCACATATGAAAGAGGTCTTTCTCAGCAATTTGATAAGATTTACATGTAATGACATTCTTCCTTGTATTATGTAGGTTATAATACCACCCTACGACGTGGATGCATAACCTACAATGAGTACCTCCAAGTTGGAAAAGGTCGTGATGTTGGCCTCAATCAAATCTCAAAGTTTGAGGCCAAGGTGGCTAACGGAAACAGTGAACAGACTATTAGCCGTGACATATACCGTTTAGGACAACGTTTTGATTTCTTTAGAATGTTGTCTTGTTATTTCACAACCATTGGATTCTACGTCAGTAGCTTGGTAACGTCCATGAAACTTAGCTGAATAATAACGGTTCCTTATATCAGTTGTGGATGAGCTCTAATCTCTGCTGACATGTGTACAGATTTCCGTGATCGGGATATATATTTATCTATATGGTCAACTCTACCTCGTGCTCAGTGGGTTGCAGAAGACGCTTATTCTTGAGGCCAAGGTGAAAAACATAAAATCATTGGAAACAGCCCTTGCCTCTCAATCATTTATCCAGCTAGGTCTCTTGACTGGTCTACCAATGGTGATGGAGATTGGATTGGAGAAAGGATTTCTCATAGCCTTTCAAGATTTCATACTCATGCAGCTACAGCTTGCTGCATTCTTCTTCACTTTCTCTCTAGGAACTAAAACGCATTACTTCGGCAGAACAATTCTCCATGGAGGCGCCAAATACAGACCTACAGGGCGTAAAGTAGTGGTGTTCCATGCCAACTTCAGTGAAAATTACAGATTATATTCTCGAAGCCATTTCATCAAAGGTTTTGAGCTCATGATTCTTCTGGTCGTCTACGAATTGTTCAAGCATACATCACAAAGCAACATGGCTTACTCATTCATCACTTTCTCAGTGTGGTTCATGTCTTTTACTTGGTTATGCGCCCCGTTTCTCTTCAACCCTTCAGGATTTACCTGGGAAATAATAGTCGGTGACTGGAGAGACTGGAACAGGTGGATCAAAGAGCAAGGTGGGATAGGGATTCAGCAAGACAAGAGTTGGCAATCTTGGTGGAATGACGAGCAAGCCCATCTACGTGGCTCTGGTGTTGGAGCTCGCTGTTTGGAGATAATTTTGTCCCTCAGGTTCTTTGTGTATCAGTATGGGTTGGTATATCACCTTGACATTACCCAAAGCAACACAAATATCATAGTCTACGCGCTTTCTTGGGTCGTGATTCTCGCCACATTCTTCACAGTCAAGGTAAAATCTCTCATCCCCTTTCTCTTGTTGTGAGTAATAAGAAAATGCATAAAAACAGAACCAAAGTCAAGCTAAACAATTTTCTCTGTTTTCTCTTGCAGGCCGTAGACCTAGGAAGACAACTCTTCAGCACAAGAAAGCATCTCGTATTTCGGTTCTTCAAAGTCTTCATCTTCGTGAGCATTCTAACAGTCATTATCACTCTATCAAACATCTGTCACCTCTCTGTCAAGGACCTTCTAGTCTCTTGCTTAGCTTTCTTGCCCACCGGTTGGGGTCTGATTCTGGTACCACAATTCAATCAACCTCTCACTGTTTTTAAAAAGAACATCACATTTACTTTCTTATGACATCCCTTAAATCGTTGTTGCAGATTGCACAAGCGGTTAGGCCAAAGATAGAAGGAACGAGCTTATGGGAGTTCACACAGGTTCTTGCCCGAGCTTATGATTATGGAATGGGAGTTGTTCTGTTTGCACCAATGGCTATCTTAGCATGGCTTCCTATCATTTCTGCATTTCAGACACGCTTTCTCTTCAACGAAGCTTTTAACAGAAGGCTTCAAATTCAACCTATTCTTGCAGGGAAGAAGAAGAATCGATGAATGTCTCTTCTTTCTTCCACTTATTATTTGCTCTGTACAAAATTCCGGTTCATACCAAATATTTCACTAGTGTTCATTGTTCAATGTATAGTGGAACCGCTCCTAACCAAATTCGAGGTATATTTATCAAATCCTGTAAACCGGAACTAAACCCAAATTTAATTCCACCAAACCAAGTAAATAAACTATTTTTCCAATATACTAAAGGGACCACTTGGTTTAATTTATTCATGGGCCGGTTCTTTTTTCAATTTCAAAATCATATTTAAACAGTTCGTAGTTTCTGAGTTTTCGGGAAAATAAACAATGATTATTCGGAGGCTGGTTCTATTTGCAGCATCGAATTCAAATCCCGGACGGCCTCAATCACTTTCCGCTTCTACTGTTCGACTTCTCTCATCATCATCTTCGGATAGATATACGCCGTCGTCGCAACGATACTCCGGTGACGATAAGCTCGCTAGGCTAAAGCACAAAGATTGGTTAGCCCCAAACGAGGTTTTGAAAATCTTCGAGAATGTCAAAGATCCGAGCTTTCTGATGCCGGCTTACCAACATTACTCTAAACGTAAAGATTATCAACCGACGGAATCTCTCTACGCCCTTCTGATCAACAAGTTTGGACAAGCTAAAATGTTCGATGAAATCGAAGAGGTAATGAGTACTATAAAGCTTGAGAAAAGATGTCGTTTTTCAGAGGATTTCTTCTACAATTTGATGAGGATTTACGGGAATTTAGCCGGAAGAATCAACCGAGCGATCGAGATTTTGTTCGGTATGCCGGATTTCGGATGCTGGCCAAGCGCCAAAAGTTTCAATTTCATTCTGAATTTACTTGTTTCGGCGAAGTTGTTCGATGAGATTCATAAGATCTTTGTGAGTGCTCCTAAGCTGGGTGTTGAAATCGATGCTTGTTGTTTGAATATACTCATCAAAGGACTGTGCGAGAGTGGGAATTTGGAAGCTGCACTCCAACTGCTCGACGAATTTCCTAAACAAAAATCACGGCCTAATGTGATGACGTTTTCACCTTTGATCCGTGGTTTCTGTAATAAGGGAAAGTTCGAAGAAGCTTTTAAGTTGTTGGAGAGGATGGAGAAGGAACGAATCGAACCAGACACTATCACGTTTAACATTTTGATTTCAGGGCTTAGGAAGAAAGGTAGGGTTGAAGAAGGGATTGATCTTTTGGAGAGAATGAAGCTAAAGGGGTGTGAACCAAATCCTGGGACTTATCAGGAGGTGTTATATGGTCTCTTGGATAAGAAGAGGAACTTGGAAGCTAAAGAGATGATGAGTCAGATGATTTCATGGGGTATGAGACCCAGTTTTCTGTCGTACAAGAAGATGGTTCTGGGGCTCTGCGAAACGAAGTCGGTTGCAGAAATGGACTGGGTTTTGAGGAAAATGGTGAATCATGGTTTTGTTCCAAAAACAGGCATGTGGTGGAAAGCCGTTTGCTGTGTTGTTTCAAAGAACAATGACTCTCAAGCAAATTTGGATCGCATTACTGCTGGCAAGGAAACTCCTGGATAAGGTTCATACATTCTGCTGTATTGTTTAGAAGATAGAACATGCTGAGCGAAGCTGTCTGTTCTTCAAATGGGAGAAAATGGAAGAAGCAAGACAAAGACTCGAAACTAAAAAGCTGTACAAGAATCCTTTGGCGTACATCTACAGCTAAGCTAATCAAAATTTCATCCTCAAGCTTGTGGTTATTTACCTATGATTCCTTTTCAATCCTTCGATTCTTGGGGGTGGTGACTTTCTTGGCTCCAGCAAAAGAGTTCCTGGCATCACTATATGTAGTTTCCAAGTTTGCTAAATTTATCTTTGTTTCTTTGTTTTTCGAAATGTCTGCTTTCGAATCGTCCTTGGAGTTTGCTGATGTATTTACATTATCATCTTCACCTGCCCTGACAGATTTTCCTTCAAGTTTTGCTGTTCTTGGTGTCCCCAGATCCTGCACACTGCTAAATGCAGATTCATCATCAGAATTTTCATGTTGACATTCAGAGTCTTGCTCTGACACAGTTGAACACTCGTCATCTCTTGATTTCCTTGATCCTTTACGCGAAAAAGCATGCTTAAGGTGTCTTGCAGACTTTTCAGCATGTTTTAGAATGCTCTTCGCAACATCCTTCATGTGTCCCTTGTGCTGACTGTCTTCAGAACCAAAGTTCTCACCTTTTGGACTTCTTCCTGTGAGAGGCCCCGATAGCCTGTCTTCAACGATGAACTTAACCCCAACATCCTTTTGATTTAACGCCTTCAAATTAATCCGAGGAGACCTGATATCCTCTTCAATGCTCCCTGTATGATGACATTCTTCCTTTTTTCCATTCCTATGGAACACTAAACCGATTTTCTTCAATCCCCGACCAACTGACTTCATCGTGCTCTTCCCTTCCTGATTTTCATCAGTGCTGCTGCTTTCATTGTTGGGCGACGTAGATGCAGTGGAACGGACACTGCCAGCACCACGTATTTCGTTATCAAGGCATCGATTCTTGCCTTTTCTTGGTTCCCAAATCTGTGAGACTTCAGTTCCTGGTTGATGTACCCAGATTCCAGTCTCTTCTTGTCCTTCGATGTTAATTGGTTCCATATTATCAGGAACCCTTGGAGACTTGTCAGATACCACTGATGAGAAGGAACCTTTACTTGTAACGTCGGAAGCAAAAGAAGCCCACATGTCTTCCTTACTTATTGTCACTCCTTCAAACGGATCATCGTTCAACTGTAAAAGAATGTATATTGCGTAAGAGTTGATCATGAAACTCTGTGTTAAACAAAACTAAGCAGAATCTCATTCTACCTTTGCCTCGTTCTCAAGTACGGTTATAGCAAGGTGCAGCCTCCCCATTTTAATGTTCTGAAGAGGCAACCACATGTCATTTCTTTGGCCGCCTCGAAACTCTGCAATGTTCACTGAACAATCGCCAAGACTGTCATCGGTAAATCGGTCTTTGTCTTGAACTTCAATGTTAAGGATATTTGGGGAGTCCCATGTGCAAATTGGTATCTTGAACTCTTCTTGCCATTTAGGAGCCAACGTTTTCCATAGTATCTTGGTTTTGAATCTGTAAGCGCCAAGCTGCCCTTTCACATATGGATCAGCTAAACCTGAAGCATCCAAATCAGAGCAGTTTATAAAATGAAGTTTAAGCTACTAAAGCGAAGGAAACTAACTCCCGGTGATTTCCAGACTAACCGTTTAGATCTGATGGTTTAACATCAGATGCTTCAACGACTTCAACAAGAGCGTGTGCTACTGGTTCTTTCTCATCAACAAAGAACCAATTTTCTGGAACGAACACAAACAAAGAAGGTAATCATATGTACTGATTGAATGAAGGTTTAAGAAGTTTGAGGAAAGAAGTTTGAGGAACCAATAAAAAGAAGTTCAAGATAAAGTCATGGATTGTGAACATCTCCTGCAATAATTACCTCCTGGCTCTGGGCTAACAAATTTCTCCATATCAACTACCAGCATATTTGGCTGAAAATTAGACACAAGCTTCATTTAGCTAGGGTAACTGTAATGCAATGTTTTCTTAACTACAAGAGGGGATTAATCTCGGGAGAGAAAGGCGACAAATGACAAGAATCTTACCTCAACAAGAGTTTGCTCAAATGCGACAGACAAAAGTTTATCCTGATTGAGAAAGAAAGATATTGGTAGGAGTTTTAGAAGAAGAAAAAACTCAAAAGATCTAGAGAAAGCTTAACATGTGTCAATACTTACTAGCCATCCTGCAATTCCTGGAAGCGCAGCAACATCAAGTCCATGAGTGGTAATTGGTTTAACAGTCATTTGGAAATAAGGTGGCTCTGCAAAACAAACACGTAAACGCCCCAGAAAAGGCCATCGACGAAGGAACTTCACTCCAATCAACACCTTCAAGAGTTAGGAGGATCCATATGAAGCAAGGTATTTCATTTAAGGAAGCGCAGAAAATAAATTCCATTACCTTTCCTTCAACATGCATTCCTGTCAAATGCAACTTTGTCCACATTCCAAACCCAAGTCTTTTTCTTAACTTCACAGCGAGTATTGCGCTCATATCATCTGCTGTGAGGAAATTCATTCCAAGTTCCAGCACCTGTACACACTTCAATATAAGTTATACTTACTCTATAGAACTTAGAACTTATAGAACTGAAGTTTTGCAACTATACCAAGTGATCATCACCCGTAGATTGCCGAAGCACCCTTATATCTGTCAACAAAGGCGGGTTTCTTCCCAAATAGAGGTGTTGTATCACAGCTTTTTTCTGCACAAATTATCGTTCCATCCATCAATAAAACTAAGTCGCTTTTCCGACTGTAAACTGTGCTACTGTAAGTGCCTAGCTAGTACTACTCCAAACATCTAACTAGACACAAAAAGAATATGGAAAGACTCAAAAGGAGTCATATATACTAAAAACAGTGAACCAAATTTGTAAGAGTTACCGCAGTCCAAGGTCTATACTTGTCCAAGAACCAAGGTATGATCGGACGTAGAATCTTCTGAGATGCAATCTGTTCCATACAAATAGGCCATATCTTCTCCATAGCATGATTCAACCACCTCACCGATTCAGAATCAGATAGAACCTAAGAAATTGTATAAAAAAAACAACAAGAAAGGATTACCATTAATTGCAAGCAAAGCTAAAGTCAGCATCTTCCAATACAAGATTGAGAACCCTAGAACTTAAACTAATGTGTGCACTATGAATTCGAAACAAGGCAACTTAAACATCAAAGTAGAAAATTACCCTTCTCTGGTTAGCTTGCTTCCTCTCTTCAAACTGTAGTTTCTTCCTCAACCTCATCACATAGCGTTCATGAACCTAAAAGAAACCCACCAACACAATATTTTGCACCAAATCCGATAAATTTGAGGCTTTAACACCTAAAAGAAACATGTCTCCAGAGAAGGAATAACATACCAGGTAAAGATAAACCAGCGAGAGGAAATAGAAAAGAGCGTGTGATCGATTCAAGTAAGATAGAACCCAAAGGAACAGTAACACAATCACCACATGATGGATTACCGAACACTCCATTATTTTACGTCCTCCGTTACAAAACCCAGAAATGAACAACTTAACTAGTCCAAAGTTTCTCGCTTTTTCTTAAATCCGAGGGATCAAACACCAATCTCATGAAACCAAACCATCCGAATCGAGTCAAAACTTGATCTTCATGTGTGTTAGTTAGAAAAGACCAAAGAAACAACCAAAAAGCAGATGATTGCAGTTTGTGTTTTGTTCTTGGGGATTGATTAGTTAGTTCAGAGACAGAGCCAAAGAAAAAAAAAAAACATTCGATCTAAATTTTTTACTCTGTTTTCTTCCGGCAAGCCAGCAAAACGATGTCGTTCTTTGAAAAGAGAAACGCGTCAACCGCCTGAAAGAGTGCAAACGTGTCAGACACGTGTGAGGAGACACAGATAGAGGTCCCACTCCCATGTCATGTTTCAATTAAATCGTGGATTAGACGATCCTACCCGTTCATTTAAAAGAGCATTGATCTGGACGGCTTACAATTTGATTTGTTTCCACATAATCTCGTGTCTATGACTTTATCATCTTCTCTACGTATACATATTCAACCATTTACATTAAAAATAATGAAACAAATCCACCAAAATGGTCGACAAATAATTTTTTATATTAATGTTATTCTAAGAACAAGTGGGATAGTTTTCTTTTTTCTATATTCACCTTGTTTCAAACTCTTTTATTATATAGTCAAGTATTTGTATTAGAGATTGCAAATGTAAGACTATCCTCATTGATGGGTTTTTAGGACAACTATTATGGTAAGAAACTTTGTTAGTGATAAGAAATGTCTCTTACCATAAGAGTTGTCCTAAGAGCCTATCAGTGAAGATGATCTTACCTATTTTAATAGATAAAATTGTTTTTTTAAAAAGGAAAAAAAAATAAAATAAAAAGAGTATAATTAAGGTGAATATTGGTGGAATTGAGAAAGCCATTGTGACTGTGACATGAAAACACGTCAATTTGATTAAAACGATGGTTATAGATACTAAACTTTTAATTCCAGTCGGTGTTTTATTATAATGAAAAATAATTTTAGAAGAAAGAAGAAGCAAATGATTCCCCTTGTATTACGCAAAATATCAAAGATATTACGAAAATCTGGTTGGGAAAAGCTGACTAACCACCACAGAAAAAGCCACGTGGCACATGCACCCTCTTAAAATACGAAACTTTAAAAGAAGAAGAACCTCAAAAACGAAATCTTGGTTCACCTCAACACCGTCTCAGATCAAACAAAACGAAGAAAGATCTGTTTTTGTTTATTGATCTGTAGAAAGAGATGACGAGTGGTGGTGTTGAATACGATAAAAACAGATCAGCGGTGACGGATCATCAACATCACCAAAACCAGCCTCCTCCTCCTTCGTTTCAAGGTGTCCCTAACTATCCACCTCCGCCGCAGCAGCAGCAGCCTCCGGCCACCGGTTATCCTCAGCCGGATCGGCCCTACGTCGCCGGTTTGTTTCATTTTCTCATCTCTCATTATATGGACAAAATCTGATATCATCAGAGTTTGGTTTTGTTTGGCTTCATATTTTTGCTTGATCTATTACTGTATATTGAAGACCATTTTTGATAATTTTGGTTTGGATATTTTATTACTTTTTCTCTCATTAATTAAAGATGCTAAAACTCGCATTGGATTACGATTTGATTCTTTCGTGTGATCCTTTGTGCTAATGTATTCGAATATGATCCAGCAATTAGAGAGAATTTCATGTCTTTTTATAGAAATCAAGATGCTAGATTCACTTGAGAACAAGGAGATGAATAAATCCTTTTTTTTTTTTTTAATTGAAATAGAAAATGCAGATGGAAGGTTCTCTTTTGGCGTTTACGTTTACAATTGACAAATGATTTTTTTTTTTTTTGCTTAGTATAAAAAAGATTGTGGATGCATTTGGAAACAGACATTAAAATCCCTTACCTTATCTGTCAAAAATTTGTAGCTAAACTCTAGTATCTTAAAAATTGTCACACACACCACTTGGCTGTTCTAAACCTCGTTATGGTATCTCTAGTTTTTCATCAGCTATAGTCTTTTGTCACAGGTTATGCTGTTGCTGCACCAGAACACCGCCGTCTTCCTTGTTGCGGTATAGGTGTTGGTTGGGTATTGTAAGTGATCTTTATCATTTTTTACCTTAGTTCTCTTCTCATTTTACACTCTTGCCAACTTCTGAGTAGACACAGCCACATATTGTAATTTTTTGTTTGTTTGTTTGTTTCTTGAAGATTCATCCTTGGTTTCTTCTTTGGTGCGATCCCCTGGTACATCGGATTCTTCCTTCTATTATTCTCTAGAAACCCTCGTGAGAGACCAGGATATATAGCTTGCGCAGTTGCCGTAAGTCCACTCTAATATAACTCAACAGTAACCATTTTTCACAATAAATGAATTCTGACTAACCCTTTCCACAGGCTGTTGTTGCTACCATTATCATCGTCGTTGGAGTCGTAAGAGGATCAGGGGTCTGGTCCTGAAGTGAAGATGTCAACACTCTACATTTACTGTTTCAGAAGAAGATCGTAAATGTTTGTTTACTTTAAGAGTGGCCAACGTATGTTGTCTCTAGATTGATTACAAAGCATTGTATATGTTACTTTAAAATGTTCTTCTGAAAACATACTAATGTTTGCATTACTGAAAAAAGAATTATATAAAAATTTTGCATTTGTTTAGATGATGATGATACTGATACGAATTCAAATTAATGATTATAAGCTTATATAGTAAATGTGTTTACCTGGACTCATATAATTCTTGAGCTCGTTTGTTCATTTTGTTACTCATATTCTGGTAACTTGTATTAATTTTGTATAATGTTAAATTTTTAATTTGACCGGCGGCGATAAAAAAGTAACTTAAATTTAACCGCTGCAAATATTTTTTTTTAACGCTAATGAAATGAAAAGGAATAAGTGAAGGCCCAAGTAGAAAAAAGAAAAGCCCAAAGAGACGGCCCTAGGGTTTGTCTAGAGAACCTCTTATAGTTTACTCATCAGCGCCACCGTTTAGCTCCTTTCTCTCAGTTTTTCTCTGATTTCGTCAGAGCTTGATCTCTCCATAGAAATGGGTGCTTTCCGGGTAAGTTACTTCTTATCTACTGTATAAGTAACCTGAGTTACGAGTGATTCTAGGTTTTGAGTCATTTTGATGATTGATTCGAAGAATCATCAACTGTGTTCGTTCGGATAATGCATCATAAGGATAAATAGTTTTTGATTCGTTTAGAAAGTATGAAACTTTTTTTATGGGCAATAGTTTCTGGATGGGGTTTGATCCGTGTGAATGTCTAGGATGATTTTGAGTGCCTATTTTGCTCTGGATATGATCCGTTTGAATCTTATAAGCTTCATTGGCTATCGTTAATCCTATAGATTGGTGTTGTCTTGTGACTTACTTAGAGAGTTGATATGATTTTAAGAGCCTGGTGCTGTTTGAGGGTTTTCAAAAGCTGATCTCTTTTTGTTTTATGATTGGTGTACATTGTAGTTTCACCAATATCAAGTGGTTGGGAGAGCCCTCCCGACAGAGAAAGATGAGCACCCTAAGATCTACAGGATGAAGCTTTGGGGTAGAAATGAAGTATGCGCCAAGTCCAAGTTTTGGTAAGCCATGCAATGTCCTGTTTGGGACCAGTTTGTTAACGGAAACTCCGTTTTGTTTTGTTTTGTTTGTTCCCTGATCTTAAATGGATTTACTTGTTGTATCTAGGTACTTCATGAGGAAATTGAAGAAGGTCAAGAAAAGCAACGGACAGATGCTTGCCATCAATGAGGTATGCATTGAATTCACTGCTCAATATCTTAGATATGCTGAAAGATTGGTGCTTTTTTATATGATCTTGTTATTCTACTTTTTATAGATTTTCGAGAAGAATCCCACGACAATCAAGAATTACGGTATCTGGCTGCGTTATCAGAGCCGAACTGGGTACCACAACATGTACAAGGAGTACCGTGACACGACACTCAATGGTGGAGTGGAGCAGATGTACACTGAGATGGCTTCTCGTCATAGAGTGAGGTTCCCTTGCATTCAGATCATCAAGACTGCAACAGTCCCTGCAAAGCTGTGCAAGAGAGAGATCACCAAGCAGTTCCACAACTCGAAGATCAAGTTCCCTCTTGTTTTCAGAAAGGTCAGACCACCAACCAGGAAGCTGAAGACTACATACAAGGCATCAAAGCCTAACCTTTTCATGTAGATCCAATTGGCATGATTAGGGTTCGTGTTCCTAGTCTGAACAAAACACTGGAGTTATCTTCTCTTGAAGATTTTTGAACTTATTTTTGTTTTAGATATGATACGGTATTCAGGTGACTCATCTCCAATTTTCATCAGTTTTCAAAGTTTTGCTGCTTTAGTGTAATGTACTAATGTTGCAAAAAGTTCAGGCTTGATAGTTAAGGTAAATGTGGGAGAGTTATCATAAATCAATCTGCTTTGGATGCAAACCATCACTAAACTAGCAACACTTAATCCTCAGTCTGGTTTTTTCAACGGGTGCTTGTCAATTTTCAACCTCAGTCTGGTCTTTTCAACGGGTTCTTGTCAATTTTCATCAGTTTTCAAAGTTTTGCTGTCTGAGAGGTAGTGTTGCAGAAAGTAAAAGCTATGGAAGTGATTTTTGCTACATGTTCTCCGGGGAGCTCTCGGCGTCTGACACACACGCGCTTATCCTTTCACCCCAAAAGAGTTGAGAGCAGTTCAATTCATCATGCTCAGTGGATCACTTTTCCAAGATTTATCCATTAAATAAATTGCAAGAAGACAAGAGCAGATGGAAAACCCTCACACGACAAGTACAGACAAAGCCCCTTTTCCGGCAAAGGATTTGCACTGTAAATTGTATAATCGAAACTCCAGTGACAGATAAAAAGTCTCAATCTTTATAAAGACCCACGAAAACTTGCGGACTCCAGAGTGACTGTGAGAATCGGAGATGTCTTTTTCAGTAGTAGCAGCTTTAATGGTGGTTGTAGCACTAGTGGTACTGTGGACATGGCGGTTCGTGAAGTGGGTCTGGATAAAACCGAAGATGCTTGAGAATTACCTGAGAAGACAGGGTCTTGCCGGAACCTCTTACACGCCTCTCGTCGGAGATATAAAGAGGAATGTTGATATGATGATGGAGGCGAGATCTAAACCCATCAAGATAACGGATGATATCACCCCACGTCTCCTTCCTCTTGCCTTGAAGATGTTCAATTCTCACGGTATAGTGTCTTTCTTCGCTTTCCTTTTTTGTTTCAGCAGAGTTTGGGAGTTGAATAGTGTTTGAGTTATGTTGATGGAACAGGAAAGACTTTCTTCATATGGATTGGACCAATTCCAGCGATCATGATAACGAATCCTGAGCAGATCAAGGAAGTCTTTAATAAGATCTATGACTTTGAGAAGGCTGCTACATTCCCTTTGTTCAGATTGTTAGCAGGCGGGCTCGCGAGCTATAAAGGAGATAAATGGGCGAGTCATAGGAGGATCATCAACCCGGCTTTTCACCTCGAGAAGATCAAGGTTTTTGTTTTTGGCTGTTGTCTACATCCAGTTAGACTGTATGTGTGTGTGATCGTTTTACCAACCATGTTTTCTTTGGTATACAGAACATGGTTCCTGCGTTCTACCACTGTTGCAGCGAGGTTGTCTGCCAATGGGAGAGGCTATTTACGGATAAAGAATCGTCGTCTCTTGAAGTCGATGTTTGGCCTTGGCTTGTGAATATGACTGCGGATGTAATCTCGCATACTGCTTTTGGAAGCAGCTATAAAGAAGGGCAGAGGATATTTCAACTCCAAGGGGAATTAGCTCAACTCATTGCACAAGCTTTTAAGAAATCTTACATCCCTGGATTGAGGTAAAACCATTTGTCATGTCATAAACTAAACTTTGAAGATTGTGAGCTTATGAGAAGTTGTTGTCTGGTGTAGGTTTTACCCAACAAAGAACAATAGAAGGATGAAAGCAATAGACAGAGAAATAGATGTAATACTGAGAGGAATTGTGAGCAAACGAGAGAAGGCGAGAGAAACTGGAGAAGTGTTGGATGATGATTTATTGGGGATATTGCTTGAATCAAATTCTGGGGAATCTCAAGGAAATGGAATGAGCGTAGAAGAAGTGATGAAAGAGTGCAAGTTGTTTTATTTTGCGGGTCAAGAAACAACGTCAGTTATGTTGGTCTGGACTATGGTCTTATTGAGCCATCACCAAGACTGGCAAGCTCGCGCACGAGAGGAAGTAAGGCACATACTTAGTGATGATAATAAACCCGATATAGATTCTCTCAGCAACCTCAAAGTCGTAAGTGAACAAAAATCGCTACTTCCATCATCCTCTTGCATCGGAAAACTGCATATATAGTTACCAAAATCACTTGAACTTCAATTTAAAGTTTGCCGTTGAATGGTTTTTCAACAGATGACTATGATCTTCAATGAGGTTTTGAGGCTATACCCTCCGGTGGCTCAGCTTAAACGAGCTGTCAACAAAGAAATAAAGCTAGGTGAGGTTACCATTCCAGCTGGAGTTCAAGTTTATATTCCTACTATTATTGTCCATCACGACACCGAGCTTTGGGGAGATGATGCAGCGGATTTTAAGCCAGAGCGGTTCAGAGACGGGCTCTCAAAGGCAACAAAGAACCAGGTCTCTTTTTTTCCTTTCGGATGGGGACCAAGGATCTGCATCGGTCAGAGTTTTGCTCTCTTGGAGGCAAAGATGGCAATGGCTTTGATTCTTCAGAAATTCTCCTTCGAGCTTTCTCCTTCCTATGTTCACGCACCTCAAACAGTAATGACCACACGTCCTCAATTCGGAGCTCATCTCATCCTGCACAAGCTCTGAGCTTTGAATTTCCAAGATGACGTGATCAAAAGTCACTGTTCTGTAAGAAAAAGATGTCATAGAAAGGCTTATATAGTCATAGGTTTTGAAGGTTTCAAATTTGTCTCTGAAATTAGTCGCTATTCGCTAAGGTTAAGGTCTTTTTCAGTCAAGTCTTAAGGTCGTTTTCCTTTGTGGCTGCATTATTAATCTTGAAAAGTCTATATTAAGAAGCTAATTTTAACTCTACCATCTTCTAGATATGATACGATATTCAGTGACTCATCTCCAATTTTCATCAGTTTTCAAAGTTTTGCTGCTTTACTGTAATGTTGGAGAAAGTTCCAAACTTTAGAGTAAGGGAAATGTTGGAGAGTTAACTGTCCAATCTCCCATAATCATAACTCAATATGCTTTGGATGCACACCATCACTACACCAGCAAGCAACACTTCATCCTCAGTCTCAGTCTGGTCTTTTGAACGGGTTCTTGATGGTGCATTGACCATTCTTCACCTGCAAGGCTTCAACTACTTTTGCCGTCTGAGGAAGTGTTGCAGAAAGTACATAGCTATAGAAATTTGGAGAGTTCATTATATCTAATCTTGCAATTCCATAAATTTCTACGGAGACCTCTCGGCGTCTGACTGATAGGTACAAACGCGCTTATCCTTCACCCCAAAAAGAGTTGAGAGAGCAGTTCAATTCATCATGCTCAGTGGAACACTTTTCAAGATTTATCCATTAAATAAATTACAAGAAGACAAGAGCAGATGGAAAACCCTCCTCACACGAAAAGTACAGACAAAGCCCCTTTTCCGGCAAAGGATTTGCACTGTAAATTGTATAATCGAAACTCCACTGAAAGAAAAAAAGTCTCAATCTTTATAAAGACCCACGAAAACTTGCGGACTCCAGAGTGAGTGTGAGAATCGGAGATGTCTTATTCAGTAGTAGTAGCTTTAGTGGTGGTTGTAGCACTGTGTATATGGCGGATCGTGAAGTGGTTCTGGATAAAACCGAAGATGCTTGAGAATTACCTGAGAAGACAGGGTCTTGCCGGAACCTCTTACACGCCTCTCGTCGGAGATATAAAGAGGAATGTTGATATGATGATGGAGGCGAGATCTAAACCCATCAATATAACGGATGATATCACCCCACGTCTCCTTCCTCTTGCCTTGAAGATGCTAAATTCTCACGGTATAGTGTGTCTTTCTTCGCTTTTCTGATTCAAAGAGTGCTCTTTTTGTTTCAGTAGAGTTGGGAATTGAGTTTGACTCTGTTAGGTTAATTGTTGGTGCTTGATTGAGTTATGTTGTTGGTGGAACAGGAAAGACTTTCTTTATATGGATTGGACCAATTCCAACGATTGTGATAACAAATCCTGAGCAGATCAAGGAGATCTTTAATAAAGTTTACGACTTTGAGAAAGCTTCTACATTTCCTTTGATCAGATTGTTAGCAGGCGGGCTCGCGAGTTACAAGGGTGATAAATGGGCCAGTCACAGGAGGATCATCAACCCGGCTTTTCACCTCGAAAAGATCAAGGTTTTGGTTTTCTCTCTTGTCTGAATCCAGTTAGACTCTGTGTATATGTGTGTGATCGTTTAGTAACCTTTTTGTTTGGTTTACAGAACATGATCCCTGCCTTCTACCATTGTTGCAGCGAGGTTGTCTGCCAATGGGAGAAGCTATTTACAGATAAAGAATCGCCTCTTGAAGTAGATGTTTGGCCTTGGCTTGTGAATATGACTGCGGATGTTATCTCACATACTGCTTTTGGAAGCAGCTATAAAGAAGGGCAGAGAATTTTCCAACTACAAGGGGAATTGGCTGAGCTCATCGCACAAGCTTTTAAGAAATCTTACATCCCTGGATCGAGGTAAAACCACAACCTCCATTTTCTTTGTCCTGTTGCAAACTAAAGATTTTGAGAATTTGTTGTTTAGTGTAGGTTTTACCCAACAAAGAGCAATAGAAGGATGAAAGCAATAGATAGAGAAGTAGACGTAATACTGAGAGGTATTGTGAGTAAACGGGAGAAAGCGAGAGAAGCTGGAGAACCAGCAAACGATGATTTGTTGGGGATACTGCTTGAATCAATTTCAGAGGAATCTCAAGGAAATGGAATGAGCGTAGAAGAAGTGATGAAAGAATGCAAGTTGTTTTATTTTGCGGGACAAGAGACAACTTCAGTACTTTTGGTCTGGACTTTGGTTTTATTAAGCCATCACCAAGACTGGCAAGCTCGTGCACGAGAGGAAGTGAGGCAAGTACTCGGCGAAAATAATAAACCCGATTTGGAGTCCCTTAACAACCTTAAAATCGTAAGTGAAAAAAAACACAACTTTCACCATCATCTTCCATCTAAAAAACTGCATTTATAGTTAACAAAGTCAGTTGAATTTCAACTGAAAGGTTGTCTTTGAATGGTTTTTCGACAGATGACTATGATCTTCAATGAGGTTTTGAGGCTATACCCTCCGGTGGCTCAGCTTAAACGAGCTGTCAACAAAGAAATGAAGCTAGGAGAGTTTACCCTTCCAGCTGGAATTCAAATTTATTTACCAACCATTCTTGTCCAGCGCGACACCGAGCTTTGGGGCGAT